AGGAAGGAAGGAAGGAAGGAAGGAAGGAAGGAAGGAAGGAAGGAAGGGCTTTCCTTCAGAAGTTGTGGGTGCTCCATCACTGGAGGTATCTGAGTTGGACAGCCATTTGACCAGGATGGTATAAGATCTGCAGTTTAAGATGGGGGTTGGCCTAGATGACCTCCGAGGTCCCTTCCAACTCTGTAATCCCAGATCGATTAGTCTGTAGTTCCTTCCAGAAATTGTGGGTGCTCCAACACTGGAAGTTTTTAAAGAAGAGACTGGACAGCCATTTGTCTGGAATGGTAAAGGGTCTCCTGCTTAAGAAGTGGGTTGGACTAGAAGACCTCGGAGGTCCCTTCCGACATTGTTGTTCTGCATTCATTCTGTAAAACCAGCCTGGCTGAAAAATGGCGGATGGGATTTTTGCAGAGCCATTATTTCTCAATTCCCCGCTCTCTTTTATTGTCTTCTCCTCCCCTTTCTCTGCGAACGCTGCTCCGAGTTGCGATGGGCGGTTTGGGACCTGGGAACGTTTAATGTTCCTTTTCCCCGCGTCAAATCGGACAATAAGGCATCGCAGCCGGAGCCTCTGCGCTATTACCCCGTCTCTCTTCCCTGGCGCAGGTTTTTGCAGCCTCGGATTTGAATCTGAAAAGCCCCCCCGCCCCCCCATTTCCCTGCAAAGGGGGAGGCCTTTGTCAATCACACACACACACACACCAGCGGCAGCAGCCCTGGCTTTGTGTGGTAACCCCTGCTGGCATTCGTGTGCGTGTGCGTGTGTGTGTGTGCAAGCACAAATTGCACTGTTGTGCGGGATTTTCTCGCTGAAATTCTCACGGGGGAATAAGCTGCTTTACTGCGATGCTGGAGAAAATGTCTCTCAATGGGACATGCAGGCGGTCCCGAACTTACGACCGTTTGTTTAACGATGACTGGAAGCTCCATTTACAACTCTGTGTTCAGCGACCGCTGGAACAACGGACTTGCGACCGGTCCTCACATTTACAACCACAATCCCCATGTGACCTACTGACCAGCAAAGTCAAGGGGGGTTCATTTAACGACCGGGTTACTCACTTAACGTCTGCAGTGATTCATTTAACAACCAAGGCCAGAAAGGTCCTTTAAATGGGGCAAAACTCACTTGAGAACTGTCTCACTCAGCAACAGAAATGTTCAGTCTCAATTGTGGTCGTAAGTCGAAGACTATGTATAGATGACCTCCAAAGTCCCTTTTCACGTGCCCCTTCACAAGGAGACCGTGCTACGGGGACCTGAGGCAGATTTGGGATTTGAACCCGCACTTATTTTAACCCTCCCCGGCTGCCTGGGAAGCTCCCCCTTCCGTCGGGACTCCGAGTAAGTCAAAAAACTCAAGATGGCGCCTGCCCCAAGGGACTCTGCCTGCCAGAGAGAGCGCACACAGACACACAGGAGACCCTGAGCCTCCAAGCACATCCCGGCAGCCGGTTCTCACAACGTCCCCCCTCCCTTCACGCTCTTTTTGTCGTCTTTCACACCTGCCTCTTCCCCGGGGCTTCGACCACATGTTTCCTCTCAGGCTGTGAGGGGAGACACATGGCAGCTTCCACCCACCGGCAGGTTCTCCACCGAGGAGGAGGAGGAGGAGGAGGAGAGGCAGCGGGGCTCCAACTTCTTTCCTTCTTCCTCCCTCCCTTCTCCTTCCTACCTACCTCTTTTCTTCATTTCCTCCCTCCCTCCTTCCTCCCTCTCCTTCCTTCCTCTATACCTCTCCTCCTTTCCTCCCTCCCTCTTCATCCCTCTCTTTTTCCTTCTTTCCTACCTCTTTCCTTCATTTCCACCCTCCCTCCCTCCATTTCTTCTTCCTTCCTCCCTCCCTTCCTCTCTCCTTCCCTCCCTTCTCTTTCTCCTTCCTGCCTACCTCTTTTCTTCTTTATTTCCAGCTTCTCCTTCCTTCCTTCCTTCCTTCCTTATTATAAAATAATTTGGTTCCTGTTTAAAAGAAAATTTGAAATAGTTTTGTACGCAATTCAACAGGAAAGCTGCTGCTTCCTTCCACCAGCTCCAAAGTGTAAAATTAGTTTCTAGTACAATACTTTCTCAGTGTGATACAGCAGCAATATTTTTTTCCTCCACTTAATGTCCAATTAAGGGACATCTGTCAGTCCTAAATCATGCCATTAAATTTGTAAAAACGCAAATCATCCCCCCCCCCCAAAAAGGGAAGTTTTTTTCTGTAGAACCGTAACGTTTTTTACGACTGGTGATGGATGTCTTGGAAAGCATTTGGGCCGAGGGTTGGGAAGGGACCCGTCTTATCATGCTGCACAGCGTTATGGGACCAAAAAAAGTAAAAAAATGCAGTGAGGATCAATTAATATTATTTTATCTACTTCCCTTCACAAAGGGAAGGGAAGCAGGCTGGCTTTGCTGAGGCAAAGATATTTTAGCAGAGACGTCACGTTCCGCTTTGCAAATACAGAATACAGAGTTGGAAGGGACCTTTGAGGTCTTCTAGTCCAACCCCTTTCTTAGAGAATAGTAAAATAATGGAATAACAGAAGAGTTGGAAGGGGCCTTGGGGCCTGCGATCCAGGATGCCCAGTCCTCCGTAGGGCCTGGCCCCGGGGTCAAGCATCTGGCAGAACCCCTCCCCTCCTGTGATTGCTCAAAAAAAAAAAAAAACCCCAGAACAGGGTGCATTAATTCCCCTTCTTTATTTTCTGGCAATTTTCCTGGTTTTGGGGCTGATTAATGAGCCTCCGTGCCAGCGTGACTTCCCAAGGCGGCCAACTTAACCTCCTGACGAAACCCCTGAAAATGTGTTACTGAAGCTGGGCGCAATTTCATTTTCATTATATTTATACATTTATTTTATTTCCCTGCAAATATTTGCCATGAGAAGAGGCCACACATTTTAACTTTCTAGATTTTTTTTCCCTTTTGGCTTCTTTTTTCCCCCTTCTACCCCTCCTGAGTTAAAATCGATGGCCTCGTATTGCAGGTAAGATTAGAGCTAAGGATGGTTTGAGACCGTTAATTTGGGATCCTCCATCTCCCTCCCTCCCTCGCCTCAAACTACTGGGGAGGGCAACATCCCATAATAATAATGGTGATAATGATAATATTTAACAAGTACCAGAGTCCTTAAGTGCCCTGGATGCAAACTGTGATCTGACTCAGATACACCAGGAAAGTTACGGCTGTCCTCAAATCTGCTTTCTGGCTTCTTGGAAGCGTCCTTGAAAAACAGGAAAGGTGCCCCCTTTTTCTGCCTTGTCCCGGCAAAGCTCCCTTCGGGGGTGGGAAAACCTTCATTTCTGTGGTGTCCTTGCTTCAGAACATGGCAAGAAAAAAAAACGGTTGGAATTCTGGACGCAAACCGAGTCCCGGAAAAGTTATAGGAGAATTTGGCGAACTTTTTTCTGGTTTGGAATTTGGGAGGGAGGGAGGGAGGGAGGTGAGACAAAAGAAAAAGGAGGAAAGAAGGAAGGAACTTGGCAACTTTACGAAAGGTGGACTTCCACATTTCCCCAGCCAGCTGTCCAACTAAGTGGAGGCATCAGTTGGATGTCACTTCCCAGTCAAGATCTCTTTTCTGCCAAGTTGGATGGCCTGATTTTGGAGACGGAGACGGTGGGGGGGGGGGGGGGGGGGGGGGGGGGGGGGGGGGGCTTAGACGGGG